ATTCACAAGCCTTCCTCTCATTAAATGAAATGCTACATGAATTTGAAACATTATCAGTGCTATAAGTAATTGAAATAACTATAATCGTCCATATTTGATTAGATAAGGGTAGTAAAGAATTACCTAAAATCGCCTTTATTTTATCGGAAAAGGGTTATAATGACGTACCTCATTTCGCATTTACTTCATCGGAAAAGGGTTATAAAGACGTGTCAAAAATCGCCTATATTAGATCGGAAAGGAGTTGTAAAGAGGTTGTTTTTAGACGCCTATACTTGATCGGAAAGACGTAGTAATAGTGCAACTACAATTTTAAGCCTAGGCATAAAAGGGTAGTAAACCCGTAGACCCTGACCTTTCCGGTAGAGCTTTACACCGTTGAAAAGGCTTGTAAAGACAATATTCAGACCCATTTCCTGAAGAGTAAAAGAGCTGAAAATTGACTTTTTGTGCTGTGTCATGGGATTGCCTACACTGGCTTGTATAGCGGTCGGCCTGAAAAAATATTCATTAAAGGTACAAAATCCCCATTTCTTCTTTAAAATACAGATATTTACAAAGACCCAGGACAACGGCTGGGATTTTCCTGTCGAGTAAAAGTGGAAAAAAGCACAGCTCACGTAGATGTTGAACAGTATCATCAGTTTGACACCTATTAGAAATAAAAATTTTCTTTTGTCAAAACCAATAATAACATTTTATTAAACGCGTGGAATATTTCGATGGACAAAAGGGTAATTTTATTGAAACATGCAGTTTTCTTACATCTACCTCTGTAAAAACTGGTTTGAAATTTTTAGACTGAAGTACTTTATCTTAACTCTAGAAATATTCTATTTGATTAATATAATTTTCTGAAAAGCTTTTTAACGATGCAAGTCATACAGCCTTGTCCCTCTCCCACCACTCTGAAAATGATAATATAAACATATATGTTACATCTTTCTTCCCCAACTTTAACCATATCCCCTTATCCCCTCATTCAGAAATTTCCCACACCTGCACGAACACATTTAATATATAATGAAAGATATGATATCGTTTGCAAAAAATGAGTAATTATTCTTACTGGTCTTTAAGATGGACGTCCACATTTCGTATGAATCGAAGAAGTCCGCATATGGTAGACCTGTAGCCATTCCTCACTGGTTTTGAAACTTCATCATAAACAGCCTGATCGAGCAAGTATTTCTGCAAAACATTATTTTTTTAACTCGGTATATTTATTTCGTCAGTGCAATATACAGATGGTGAAAAAGATTTTTCAATGCCACTTGTGCTGCAATTGTAAAATAATAAATCATTTCTGAAAAGAGGAAACGTCACACGTCATTAATAAAGTACTATTTTCTTGACATAATTTATGACTATTTTTGTCACACAGATATAAACTCTACAAGCTCTACGAACTCAACAAAAAAAGTTCAAATCACATTGAAAGTATCCTTTATATAATTATTTTATTGAAATAAAGTGCTATAGAAAATATTAAAATTAAAGAGTTTGCCTTCGTGCCAAGATTTTAGAGGTTCTGTGCATGCCACGTGCACTGTACGTGCTTCCTCAATAAATCAAAGATGGAAGATGAGATGAACTGTGATACGTTATGTGACGGGGGCACTCTTGCGTGTATATTCAGGCTGTTGTACAATAATATAGAGTAATGCCCTACACGAAAACATTATATTTTTACGACTGATTTGATTACATTTCACCATGCTCAGTACAGTTTGAAAGATGTTAAAAATACTGGAAATTTTACAGCACAGAGCTTATAGGACATGTGTCGTTTTTGGCCAGTTTTTAGAAGGCAGTGACATTGGTACTGGATAAAGATAGGGTCGCCCCATTGATTTTCTCCCTCTCCCTTCCTCCAATCTCTCTGAATGAGTGTACGTAGATTAATTAGTCTAATATTACGTGTACGCCAGTAACACACTGATTATCCGCATTCAAGTATATGCGGAAGCACATTCAAGTATATGCAGAAGCAAATTTATTAATTATAAACCAGGAAGACCTACCCAGTGTGCTACTGTATTAAACACGGATACCGTCAACCCGTCCAGTGTCAATGTTACGGAATGTGGCTGTTGTTTCCAACTGCAAAATATTCAGTGGATTTAACATGGATTTTATACAAATCAAATATCACATAGATAACGGTTGTTCTTACTGTGAACAAAAAAAATTATTAAACTGCTCGCATTTTAAAATTATACTGCTGATATTCTATTCTCACATTTTCTTCAATCCATCTACGTCTACTAAAACGGGCTGATATCAGAAGACTATCAAATTTAATATAAAATTATAAGACATTAAAAGAAATGTTTACATTAATGTTTAAGATAAAAAATACAATCTGGAAAGTAAAGGACATGAGATTTATGTAACACGAAGCAAAGTACTACTGGTTTGCATTTAAACATTCCGTCACAGCGAATTCTTTCATTAAACGTATACAATTATTAACATCCCTCTGTTTTACCTTTCTTTCACTTCCTTCTCGTCCCCCAACACACCAAGAAAACGATACCTCATATCCACATTCCAAAAGAACGGGTGCCTGTTAATGAGAGATATATCAATATTTACTGCACATTTACCACGTAACTCCCTGTACCTAAATTCTTACCAGTGAAACATTAAAAAAAAAAGATTCCCTTGTCAGTATGCGTTTAAGTGCTTTCATGTATTTGGACAACATTACACACATCCAACTAATAGTCCG